CGCCGCTCCCCCGCTTCCTCATCGTTAGAGAACGGTCCTGCGCCGTGTCAAACCAGCCACTCCTGGTGCACTTCATCGTCTACAGGGCGGAGGCGATGCGGCGAAAGTAGGGCATATCATCCAGTTATGTGAAATGGCGATGCCAATATGACTCAACGAAGGTCTTGGTTCAAGCACTGGCCTAGTACCCGACTACTTAAAACTTTGCTATCGCCGAGGTGAGGGAGGGAGTGCGGACGCTATCCCCGGACGCGTTAAAACTACTATCAGAAATAATGGTTTTGACGCTAGCCCTCGTAATCCATGTGTACGCCATATCTCAGATCGTCAGCACGATTCTGAACAGAAGTCGAACGCGTGGCGCATCCCAAAAAGAATCAGACGGCAAGAGATTCACCATTCATCAATTGAAATGGATTCCCAAAATCTCTCGATTTGAGTGACTTTATAGGCAATTGGGATAAATCCCCCAAGGCTACTAGGATCAATACTCCTGGCAGGATAGAATTCCGCGACCCTGGGCAGGCGCTGCATAGCGGTTTCCCCGAGGAAGGTGCCCTTATAAGGGCCCTATCAAGCCACAACTTTACGTCCCAAACGCCCGCCACGCCCGCCCGCCCACAAATGGACGACCGTTCCTGACGCTCGTATACGCATATGCAGCCGTACCTTCGGTAGCGGTTATTGGCAAGATGCCTACGGGAAACTCGTCCAAAATTGATTTTGAACACATTGAGAACGGAGGCTCTTTCTTCGCAGGATTTTGACCGTTTCACTCCGTTCTTTCGCCATTTCCCCACTATACAGCGCCCTACTAGCATTTTAGGCTAAGTAGGAAACCATCGTGCCAACTGCCTTTAAGGCCCTATATGTCGCATTCATAGTTCATAAGGCAGGCGCGCCACGACCTGACCTCCGGGAATCCTGACCTCCCTCCCCCCCCCCCTTTTACCCCTTCTAGACAACCTGTGGTAGCAACTAGCTGATCCTCGTGAGATGGGAGGGTTGGCTGGCTGGTTGGCTTGCATGCGGATTTTAGATTAGGACCGTATACACACACTCCTCATTGCGGCGCTAGAGTGGGCGTGGCTGCTATTTTTTCGAACGTGACAGTGGCTGCGCTTTTGTTGGGATATTGTCGTTCTGGGAAGTACGCAGTCACCCCCCTCCCCCTCCATTCAGGTTCTGTATGTGTCAGCGGCACCACCCGACACTGTCGCACATTTTTTATAAGAACTTGAACACTTTAAAAAATAAGCACTGGAGAGATGGATGCTTACTTTCGCGCAATACACTCATGATTACTGCAGACACAGGACGTGTGGCGCGGCGCGCACGTGGGGCGCAGCCAGAGTGGCCTTTTTCCAAGAACATACCATCCGTGAGCCGCTACAAATGGTGGGGAATCTGCCTTGGCTGCTAGCCACCTTCGTCTCACGCCTTATCAGTTTATTTATTTATTTATTTATTTATTTACACCATAAGGTGTGCCACAAATTGCTACACTATAATAAACTCACTGAAACTTAATATTTCCACTAAACATTAAGACAGAGAGAAGGAGCACACGCTATTCATACTACTTCCTGAGAAGAAGAAAAAGGTTGCGTGAACTGTAACCCTAACCCACTGAATTTCAGGCAACACTCACATTTCGTCCTCTCACAAATCCAGTTCATCAAGTGTTTATCGTTGTTCATCGAGCCATTACTAGTATTTCTGATCTGTAAACATAACACACTCACGGAATGGCGAGTGGTCTTCCTTTTCCATGGAGTACTACTCATAGGTAATGAACACGATTCTTCTAGTACTTCTCATTGATTTTAATTGTAATTCATCATTTTAAGTTGGAAATGTGATCTTCTGCTACTTCGCCACTGACAAACCGGCTGCATTCACTCATCTTGTGCCTACAGAAGAACTCAAAGATGCTGTACCACTAGAACAGCAAAGGTGATCACCCGCTGCGAAAACGCTACGCTTCGAACGCTATCGTCTGTGAAATCCTCAGAAAACGTCGGTCATGTGTTGCTTTGTCTCTGCACCTCAGCTATTTTAGTGTTTGTTTGTCCATGTGTACTTTGAACTACTCCTAATATAGATAAGTTAAACGTTCAGTCCAATTCACAGCAATAGACGTGTGTGTGGGCGGGCCTAAGGGATGTGTGCGGTTGCGGTGCGGTGCTATAAGGACATGCTGTTAATGTCCTCCTCATGTTCATTACCGTATTTGTTCATAACTCGTACCGTAGCTTTCTCGCCATCTCACCCTCATATGCATGTCTGCGTGAAATAATCACTTTTTCGTTATTGTAGACATTCGTGGACTGAGGAGGGCCACCATTGTAGGAAAAGTGCCCGAGGCCAAATATTTGAGCCTTAGAGGGAGTGAAGTTCTAGTCGTACTAATATAATTTATTACTGATGGATATTTCGAAGCTTTCAGTTCTCTTTCATGCGTTAACCATTGATGTTTAGAATAGTTATTGTTACTCACCATTGTGAAACTGGTAATTTCACAGTGAGTTTACGGGAGGTGTGCATAGAGTCTTCTTCGTTGAGATGCTGGGGTGCTTTGGACAGGGCTGGGTTTAGCGCGGCCCCAGTCGTTTCCCACTAACTGTGGAAGCCGGCAGGCGCCAAATGTTCGAGAACTGCTGTCGCTGGCGACACTTCTACAGTCTTTTTCGCTATGGAATTCGAGGCGTTTTCAAGAGGGATGTGGCTTTGGCACGGCGCCAGCGAGTTTTTCACCATCTGTATATCTCCCTTCAGAAGGCAGATTTCCCATTTATGTCCGCTAAAGTTACACCAACATGAATTTAACTTTTGAATCTCGGTTTGTGCTGGTCCTGAAAAATCTAATCAATAGTGCCCAATTCTGTATTCTTGGATAGGGAGCCCAGTTACACAAACTGCATTCAATTTTTTAGCGTTTAGTTCAGTGTAGAAGCCATTTTATTATTGAGAGTGGGGCCACGAGATCCGACGTGGGCGGCTCGCGAAAATCAAATCACCCGCGCGCGGTGGCGCGCGCCAGTCACGTGACGTAACTTGCAACGCCGTTTTCGACACGCTATCAAACTCGCACTTCTTGGCCTGCACCCCATTATCCATGGGAAGTGCCTTTTACGAGGATGTTGTTGTGTTGTGTTAACCTTAACGACCTATGGGTACTTCACCTACCGAAACCTACTAATTGTGTTTTATAACAACTTTGAATTTTAATTTTTACAACGATAGTACCGTATTTTCCGCGGTATAAGGCACATTTACTCGCTACGGCACGCGCGAAAAGTTTCTAAACAAAGAGCTAATTCAGCAATAGTTTTTCTGGTATTTTCACCGTATTCTAGTCTCCCGGTTACCTTTGAAGCGCTTACTACTCAAAATAAACTGCTCACCTAGACACAGAAATGTGGTCCGAGGAAAAAGTGCGCCCTATACACAGGTACGCCTTATACCCCAGAAAATAGGGTAACTCAGTTTGATCCTCTAGTCCTTAGCATGCGTTTGTGCCATTTGGTACTGTAGATGTGCCAAACATTTGAAAACCTCTCAAACATTCACTTACCTTCTAATCTACTTCACGACAGCATAATGACTTTATTTCTGCACTTTAAGCATAAAGTACTAATGTGATTCAGAAAAAAATATTGGACCACACTGTAGTCGTCAAATATATTTGTTAATTGTACAAATATGTGAGCTACTCAACCTTAAAACAGCTGTGATTGATGGCAGTGTTCCTTTTTGTTCTCAGTACATGTACAATACAGAATTATTCATGACCTTTATGAATAAAT